TGGAAGCCATGAATATGTCATAGGCAAATTTTGACAATCATTCATGGGCCAATGGCCCGGCGCTCCTAATCCCGAGCCTCCATCACGCTGTTTATTTATTAAGCAACTGATTACTGTTAATGACGTGATTGGATAGGGTTGGAAAGAAAAGAAAATTCGACAACTTGTGAAAAATAATTATTCCGCATTGGCTTTAGGAGAAAGGGATTTTTGAACTATAACTGGAAGCGCTCATTTAAATTCAGTAGTTTCACTTTCGATTTGTGCTCGGAGAAGGCAGTGGCTAGTGTGTCCTAATCGATGCTCGCTAAAAGACATAAAATATGAAGTCACCAAATATTAAGGAGCTCATCGATCATTCTATAATTTAAAAAAATGACTTTATACTGGTCCTTGTTCATTTTGTAATATGGAACAAAATATGAACGTACATAATATCGATCATTTTATAATATAAAATAATTTATATTTATTATTGACGTTTCTATAATATAAAACAAAATATGTCTTTATATTCATTATAGGTCTTTCTACAACTTAAAACAAAATTTGACCATTTTATAATATAAAATGACTTCATTTTTATTATCGATGGCTCTATACAGGGGACGTCAGACAGTTATGCAGTGTTTCGGAGGAGGACCATGATATCAAATATAGTACAATAAATTGTCTTGGTCTCAGACCGTTCTGTCAAGAAGGCCGCCTTGGTCAGGAGATTCAAAGAAAAAACAACGATGTTAATGTTATATTATTTAAACTAGGTTCCTTATTTTACTTCAGGAATAACAGGATAACAAATAGCACAATAAAAAAAAAATGGAAAATTCCTAACTACGATTCAGCTAGCGTGCCAGACAAAAATTCTTCGCGGGTCGAATGTGAGCCGCGGACAGGGGCTTGCCGACTCCTGTTCAATAATTTAAAACAAAATATGGCTCAATATTGATCGAAAAAAATTCTGTAATATGAAACGCAATATGACAATATGTACCATTGATATTTTTAATATAGAAATGACTTTTATATTTATTCTTGATGTTTCTTTACAGATGATACATGTGATACATATAATATATTCATATATATCATTAATCATTTTATGACATAAAAATGACTTTATATTTATTTTTGATTGATTTATAATTTAAAACAATATGTCTTTATAGTTTTCTTAGATCATTCTGCAATATGAAACAAAAATATGATCATATTTATCACTGATCAATTTATAATATAAAAATAACTTTGTTATTGATGTTTCTCTAAAATAAAACAAAATGTCTTTATATGGCTCAGAGATAATTCTATAATATAAAACAATATACATATCATTGACCATTTTATAAGAAAATAATATATGACTATATTTATTATTGATGTTTCTATAATATAAAACAAAATTTTATATCACAGATCAGTCTACAACATAAAACAAAATATAGTTACATGTATAACAGATCATTGTATAATGTAGAATTATTTATGACTATGTCTTATTGATGTAAGTATTTACTCTGTCTTCCCACTAAGCTAAGTTGTGACACAAGGTCTTTTTTTAAGTGGGGACCTAACGCGTACACCCGGGCGTGGAACAAAAATTGCCCGCAGATCCCGCAACCGTCAGTTGCGCTGGCCTCGTTGCGAGCACCGATCCCTCTCTCTGGTGCAATGAGAGGGCGCAGCTTCGGGCAGCTGGGCACATTTCAGTATAATTTTCCTCGGTTGCGACTCTCTCCTTTGACGGAGTCGCCCCGCAGTGCACTCTGCCCAAAGCCAGAAACACAACTGAGAGATGATAAGTAATGTGTTACAAACCACTCCAAAGTGCGATTTGCACACTAATGTATTATGGATGTACACAGACATGACAGAATTGAATAGACGCTAATAGAAACCGTTTATTTTATTAAACAAGTAATTTATGCAAATGAAGTAATTATAAATGGTCATAAATTCAATAACTAATACTTGGTTGACATCCATTTTGTTGTTTTTTTTCAATGCAAGTACCCTTCTAGGCATGCTAGCGATGAGTTCACGAATATCGTCTTAAGGGATTTCTTGCCATGTTTGACGCAATAATCCTAAAAATTCGGTCTTAGAAGATGGCTTCCTGTTCTTTTTGCAGAGTTTTCGATCTAATATGCCCCAAAGGTGTTCAATAGGGTTAATATCCGGGTACTGACTTGGCCATGGGAGTTTATTGATCCCATTTTGTCTCAACCAATGTTGCGTTGCTTGAGCAGTGTGACATGGAGCTCCATCTTCCATAAATAGGGAGTCAACTTTGCTCATTCTACTACTTGGAAGGAGCCCTTTCTTTAATATAGAAACATATTTGGTTGAATTAATGTTTCCTTCACTCTCCACAAGCTCTGAGCGACCATCACTCCAAATTGCACCCCATACTATTACTGAAAGGCCCCCATGTTTCACCTTTGGCTGCAGTCTTTTTAAATCAAACTCTTGACGACAGAGTCTCCATACCCATACTCTTCCACTGTCGGAAAATAATGCAAATATTGACTCATCATAGAAAATGACAGTGGTCCAAAAGGTCACAGGTCTCTCCACCATCTCATGAGCTCAATCCTTTCTGTGTTTGATATTGGCTGGACGGAGAAGTGGTTTCCTTCTCGCAGCTCTGCCATAGTAGCCCAGTTTGTGAAGATACTTGACAGCTGTTCTGGGACTGACATCAACTTGTGTTGCTATGTCAGAGGCCTTGCAACGTGGATCCTGTTCATCATTTCTTTCGACAAGACGCATGGTTCTTTCAGAGGGCCCAGGGCGGCCTGGATGAGGTTTTGTGTATGATACTGACTGAATAAGTTTTTTTTTTTTAATTGCTCATAACTGGTGTCGATGGTAATAAAAATTGACTGACATAAATAATGACAATAACATAATTATTATCACAAAAATGCACGTTACTTAGTTATATATTCCATCTGTTTTGTCTCGGTATAAAAATCTCTGTAGCGATAATTTACCGTAAACTGCGGCGTACATGTTGACCTGGCGTACTAGTCGATCTCAAGATTTTTAGCTCAAAATTCTAGGTTAGACCTATACCTACTGTATAGGTCGACTCCTAAACATACGGTAGACTTAGAGTGGCCCGTGACTGTGGTCTCCAAATGCAAACTCGACTTGTACGCCGCAATTTGTAGTAATTATGCCTTATATCCTTAAACAGATCATCTCACCATCTCCATTCAGGAATCTTTTTTATTGTCAATATAACAAATCTTATGCTCTTACTATGCGTAGACGGGAATTTTCAACCTGTGTATATATATATATATATATATATATATATATATATATGACATTTAGTCATAAATACTTTCCGTTTTTCTCTATAAACTTCAGTGAGGGACAATAACATTTTATTCAATTATATATTCACCATTATTTGCAGTGTCGTGTTGCCACATCTCAAGCAGCTTTTCAGGATTTTTTTGAGTCAAATTCCGAAGGTTTTCATGCGAAAAACGAAATATCGAATCCAATTTTCATTAGAGAATGTGCCCATTGTTGCACCAATGTGTTTTCGGGGGGTGATCGATAAAGGTAATAATCGATTGATCCAAGGTCAGGTTTATAGGCTGGGAGGGGTCGAACAGACCAACCGAATTCCAGTTCTTTTTTTACCTTCAGGATTTGTAGTCCAAATTGCACATAAATTTATGTGATATAATATTTTTGTGTTATTGGTAAGCTGTCAGATTTTTAGTTTTTTTTTGTTTTTGTTTTTGAACGAGATATCTAACAAATCCACAGCAAAAACACAAAACACAGTAAAAATAGATTAAAAATAGCAGAAGCATTAACCATAAAAGACAAGAAACCTAACATCAATAAAATATTTTCAAATTTAGGAACAGACATACATAATATATTTCATTATAAATATAACAAAAATAAATAATACAACACGAACTCTCACGCGAAGAAGACACAAAGATCCGATATTTGAAAATGATAAAACATGGCATAAAAAATGAAACCTCTTTGAAAATGCCCTGACATGAAAATGACATCCGAAAGTACTCCGACACAGTATAATGTATATTACATATGTATGCCTAAGTATACAAAATCTATTTTAATGTTATTTTAATAGTGGAGTAACAGTGGAGTAATAGATGGCGCTCCGGCTTGATAAACCGGAGAGCTGAGTTCGAATTCCCGTCGAATCTATTACATTCACTTACGTGCTAATACACTTGGGAAAGATATGAATCCTCTTTTCCTCCCAGCTATGGGTAAATAGCAGGATACACCGGGTTCTATAGCCTTGGATGGTCTACCGCAGAAAGTAATGGCAACATACTGCGGGAACAAAATCTGCCTCGTCAGTCATATATCGAAAGATATATGATCGCCTAAGCCTGTATAACGCATTGGCACATAACTGACTGATTTTTAATTCTATATTAATTTTTTTCATCCGATTTTTGGCTTCTAGCTTTAGACTTTACTTTTCACCTGTTTTAGGTTTGTTACAATTTCAATTTTTCGGATTTATTTTCCTCTTTTATTCTGCTTAATGTATTCTTCAAGTTCTTTTGATGAGCGTGTTAAACATTGTCTTCATTCAGGATACTTGGTGTGTATAGCATTACAAGAAGCACGAACCATTTATACATTCACTGGAAGCCAAGTCATTCATCTGAGGTTTTTTTTCGCCATACATATTAGCAATCACATTTGCTTTTTCGAGAGAGACACATTTTTAGATAGACATTTATTTTGATAATTTATGATGATTGTTGAATCATTAGCGCGAGGATTACAAGAAGACATATTTACGGGCTTGTCGCCGAAGCTGAGTTAGAATTAATAGTACTTTTATAGTTATGCTATTTTAGTACTTAATATATGAATCCGTCGTACTGGTAATGTATTTATTTGTAATAAATCATCTGAGTCACGGTGAAAAATACTATATTCAATCTGGTTCGCGCGGGTTCTTGATTGAATTCTTCTAGAATCTCTTTTGCAATTCCAAACCACCACAATCTTCACAACGCCCTCTCTCTGTTTCTCTCTGTTTATCTCTCCCTCTGTTTCTCTTTCTTTCTTTTTCCCTTCCTTTATCTCCTTTGCTCTGTCTGTCTCTCTCTCTCTACGTCTCTTTCGCATGTGAGTGGTGATACAAAAAGTTCAAGGCCCGACCGAGGAGGGATTTCAAAAGAAATCTTACGTTAGATCAGATATGTGAAATAGGTGAAGCCGAGAAAATTTAAGCACTCTCTCTCTCTCTCTCTCTCTCTCTCTATCTATCTATCTATCTATCTATCTATCAATCAATATATATATATATATATATATATATATATATATATATATATATATATATATATATATAAGTGAACATTGAAGTCAACACTCAGCCTCTGAGTGTTGACTTCAATGTTCACTTTTATTTATATTTATATTTTTTTTATATTTACATACGCTCTATCTCTGTTACTGAGCAATTTATCCCATAAATATAGCACACCTTAAAACTATATATATATATATACTAGCGAATAGTGAAATCAACACCCAGAAGCAACTGTCTGTTTCATGCTAAACAGCATCAAACAGACTATCGCCTCTGGGTGTTGATTTCACTATTCACTCAGATATATATATATATATATATATATATATTATTAAAATGAAAAATGGTCCACGTGACGCGTGCTTCTTATAATATGTAGATTTAATAATGGAATTTGAGGATTAAAAAAACGACAAAATGATTACAATATCTTACTGCTAATATTGTTATCATTTTGTTGTCTTTATTCCGCAAATTTTATTAGCCGGCCTAATAAATCCACACACACACACACACACACACACACATATATATATATATATATATATATATATATATAAAAGAGAGAGAGAGAGGCGGGATGTTGCGTGTCTCTCACTGATCTATCGCTTCTGCCATTTAAAATGCTCGGACGAATTACATCTCTGGGTCCGCCAGGGCCGCTCTTCACGGCTAGGACCCGCCATAACACTTACATAGTCGCAAACCACTCACATTTTCTCCGTATTCCATCGGTGAAAATTAAGTTCCACTTAAACAGCTACTTTCTGCGAACCACTGTCCTATGGAACAGACTCCCAAGAGGATGTTTCCCCGATCCCTACAGTCTTAACCTGTTCGAGTTTAGAGTCGACCATTATCTTCTCCTCCTATCCATATAAACTACTACTTATCGTAATCCTCTACCTTGTGTGTCTCTCGAGCCATGTACATAGTGAACTTTGTGGTGTAGGTTCTAGCTCGATTTTTAGCAATTTTGTCCTGTCCAACAAAACAATTCCTACTGGGCACCTACTGTATTGGAATATATTACCGAATGTGTACGATGGCCAGGAATGTCAAAATACTCGTCAGAACTCTGATGACCCAAACTGAATTGCGGTGGTTTGAACACGTGGGAATTGTGATAGCGATGGATTGCCAAGACCGAAAATGGACGGAGACACTCAGACGGCGGCAATAATTAGAAGGGTCCAGATATTTCACCGCATCCAGATTCCCTATTGAGGCAACCCAGCACGTGGTGATGAGTTTTTGGCCAACCGGTTGACATACGTCTTCTCCGTCTCCCTCTCCCAGTCGCTTCCTCCTAGAAACGTTGCTTCAACTACTGTCCATTGTAAAGTAAAACTAGTAAAAGATTGTCGCCGTTGATGCAGTCTCTGGCGTAGCGTTGAGGTCTGAAGATGTGAAGCTAAAAACGACACGAAACTCAACAGATACAAGATGCAATCCAGAAGTTTTGAGTTTTCTTTTAGCAGAGACACTTATAACTCTTATTACTGTAATTTTAGTATATTACTAGCAGCATGGCCTGGGGTTGCCCGGGCTTGATTAAAAAATCACACGACTCATACAGCAATTGCTATCCCTTGACTTTATTTTTGCCCTTCCTTGCCTTTAAAGGAGTGCCCTTTGCCGTGCTGATGTTGCTACATGCCTTACTTCTTGCCTATCTCACACTGCAAATTTTTTCTAAGCTCTATACTAAACATTAAATTTGTTACGAAAAAGAACTAAACAAAATGAACAAAAAAACGATCAGCTTTGAAAAAGGACTCGAACTGGAAAAACCGAATGAAAAAGAATGTTAACAACAAATACTTTTTTCACCCAACCCAGTTCTGCGGAATCAGAATCAACATTGAGTTTAAGCAAGCGAATGAGCCAATTGGAGTAAAGTGCCATGCAGATTTAAATTTTCCTACTTGTGAGGAATGCAGCTATCGATTTTTTTTTTTGCATGCTAGTTAATATTCCTGTCAGTCAAAATAATAGAATCTTCCTGCCTATTCGCTGCAGCCAGCTATAGGCTCTCACTCTGGCCAGTACAAAATGGCCGCAAACTACATGAAAACTGCCGCAGAAGCATGAAAAAATCGATTATTTCTACTAACGGTGGGAGTTGGGAAATGCAAAGTCGGTATTGGCTTTTCCGCTAACTTGGAGCATGTACATGTAAATTTTGGTGCAAATCTGTCGAAAATTGCGGCCGTGCATTCGTTTCACGCACATCCTGCCTTTTATAGATAGAGATTACGATATATCTAATAAGCTGACTTGCCAACTTTTGTTATTCTAGATTGAAGGAGACGACTGTAATCGCTCCTTGAACACACCCAAGGAAACACTGCTTGTCACAGCTGAATAGTGTGCAGAATGTAATCATACGTGAAGATAATTTAAAAGCTCGCTATACAATACAGTTTTGTGTTAAACTGGATAAAACAGTGTAAAAAATGATGACATGATCCACTGTTTATGGATTAACTTGTATGATCCGAGCATCTGATTTTACTGTCACAAGAGGTTCAAGGACTTTAGAGAGGAGGCGAGAGACTATGAGAGATGAGACGTCAGAACATCGAAACTGGTTGAAAAAATTCGTAGTTTTCTTCGATGAAAACCGCTGTGTGCCTATAAAGACAATAAACCTACAGGTTGGCGTTGGTGTGGCAACTGTAAAAAGAATGATTCACAGGATGCTCAGGGACGAAGAGAAGGAAAGACGCATTGGTGACAGACATGCGATTTAAAACTGTCTCTCGCCCTCCCTAGAGTCAGATTTTTCTCCCTATGACTTTTGGTTGTTCCCTAGGCTGAAGGAAAACCCCAAGAGCAGTCGTTTCGAAGATTGATTGATTTATTGATTTGTTTCTTGCGGATTATCAACCTGCTGCAGGTTATTTAATGCCTGAAAAATAATGTTTAGATTGTAAGAATTTGGCGGGGGGAGATAATAATAATTTTATGATGCAAGTCTTACTAATTAACCCATAACTGGGGGAGAGGTGGATTAAAACCTTTCCTGGGGATATTTGCGCATAAATGAATATAAAAAAACCCGACTGGAATTGGAACTCGACTATTCGATTTCCAAGCCATCCATTACACCAACGGCACACCCAAGCTTACAACATCTAGTATTCTCAACCGGTCATCTATCTAGGAACTTACCACGCTCGGCGTTACTCAACTTTGGTGATCGTTCGTTTCGGAGACGTTGAGAAGATGAAGGAGGCTGTGACAAGGGCCCTGAACTGCTTTACTTTGGACGACCTCCATGGAGCTATTATGAAGTGTCTGGAACGCTGTAACAAAATTCTATTTCTAGTAATTTTTTTTTCCTCAAAAATATATAGCTCGTAATATTATTTTAAAAAATGTATTGCTTGTAATAATTTTTCTTCAAAAATTTATTTCTGGTTATAATTTTTTACAAGGTACATTTGTAATGCTTTTTACCTCAGTTTCGGGGTTAACTATTTGCCCATAGCTGGGACCCTAACAGGTGTTACCACCCTGAGTCAGGGTGGACCTGGGAACACCAGCAATTAAGGGGTGGTTCTACGCTCCTCAAAACCTCCTGATCAGAGGCCTTGCTGCTAGACGTAGTTTTTCGTCTTACCCAGGACGCGGACGTAGTTTATCATCATGCTAAGGGCGAAGTCATAAGTTTAGAGTTTTTGTAATTCCTTGAATCTTTTGAAAAGATTTCAAAACCTCTAGAATACAAACTCGTCTGTCGACATTTGTACTACTACTGCATATGTACGTCTAAAATAGTAGAAATATTGTTAATCGAAATTAATGTAGAAAGGCTGACATTAGCTCATTAATACCCACTATAAAATCCTATATTCATTATAAAAATAAAATCCGCTATAGGTCCGTAAAAAATCCTATATTTATTATACGTTTCTGAAAAAATAGTGCGGTGTTAATTATTAGTTCTTAAAAGATAGTAGGTATTTGGTTTCTAAGAAAAATCCGGTATTAATTAATAAAAGTGGAAATAAATATTCGACATCCCTAAAATATCAAATGAGTATTATAGATTTCTAAAAATAAGTACGGTATCAATTATTAGTTTTAAAAAATGCTCACTATTTGGTTTATAAGTAAAATCTGATAATAATTATAAAAATGAAAAAAAAATCTTGAATTAATTATAAAAAAGAAAATCTTTTATAGAGTTCTAAAATAAATATAGTTTTAATTATATTTTTTAATGCGTGATTAGGCCGTCCTGGGCATGACGATAAACTACATCCGCGTCCTGGGTAAGACGAAAAACTAAGTCCAGCAGCAAGGCCTCTGAGGTAAAAAGCATTACAAAAGTGTAAAAATAGTTTTTAATACCAGAAATACTTTGTAAAAAATTATTACCAGAAATAAATTTTTGAATAAAAAAAATATTACCAGCAATACATTTTTTAAAATAATATTACCAGCTATACATTTTTGAGGAAAAAAAATATTACCAGAAATAAAATTTTGACAAAACAAAATATTACCAGGAAAAAAAAGTTGTTGGCATTAAATAACCCACTGAGGTTGATATGCCGTATAACACAACAAACCAAAGCAAATCTAAAAGAGTGCTAAACTGCTATGTGACAAATGTCCTCCTTTACGGCAGCGAATGTTGAACGGTCTCCTCCAAGATGAAGAAGAGACTCCAGGCAGCAGAGGTGTTTTTCTACAGAAGGATGCTGAGGATACCATGCACCGAACATGTGAGTAATGATGAGGTTTTGGGTAGGATGCAAACCAAAATGGAAACTTATACTTAACATCAGGAAGAGGCGGC